TAAATAAGATTAGGTTTTCAATAACCAAATAAATAATAAAATAAAAGAGAGTTATATTGATACATATTATAGTATAATATTACTTAGTTTGTCATTCTGTCATTATTATTATTATTTTATATATATAATAAATACGCTTATTATCTTTAACTTGCAGCTGGCCTTTCTATTTCTATTTTCAGTATTGCAAACTTAAATTGGCTTCTAAACTTTACCACAACTTTGTTTACTTCTGAATTTTTCATTTCTGTAGATATACCTATATTTTTGGTGTTTGGTTTATTTTCTTTTCCTTATTTTTGTTACCAATAAATACTCTTTTTATTTATCCAAATTATATTTTGACTAATCATATATAATACTAACCGATACAGTATATAACATTTAAAAATACTAAATATATACACTAAAGTATCAAAATATATACCAATAATAACATAATATATAGTATTTACTAGTGCCATTATATTGTTTGAAGAACAGAAGGATATGAAACTTCTAAATTTTACTTGTGACAATTTTAGAAAAAGAAATAACAATAAAATATGATCTTAATACAATTAAATTGATAGATTAAAAATGTTGAGACTTATATAATGATATATTTGATTATTAAGTTAATAATGATTGATGAGATTAAGATGATGCAAATTTTTCTGATGTGAAAAATAAATATAAAACAATAATTTTAACAATTAATATTTTTGTAGCTATTTGTCAGTTATAGCATTAGCTTCAGAGAATATTGATACAAACTTTGTAAAATATAGAACAGGAATAAGATGCAATAAATTTCACTCAAAATCCTAATGAGTTAAACAAAAATAGTCAAAAGAAAAAGAGAAAAAATCATTAGATAGTGAGGAATTGGCAGATATTATTGAATTTTGTAGGAGAAAATTTAATTGAATTATTAGAAGCATTAAGACCAATATTTGGAGTTATTAATGTATAGATTTCTATATTAGCTTAGATTTGGTGATAAAGATATAGATGGTGATGCTTAAGAAAATGAAGATAAAATGATATTACTTAATAACAAACTACAAAGTTGGATCATCCTATTGAAGAAGTAATGTAAAAGGTTTAATGTTATAATGGGATTAATTGATGAATGTTTTTGATCCTGAAGATTTACTGAAATTTGAATTGTAATCATACCAAGTATTTTATATGAATAACTAATTATATATAAGCATCATAATTTAATAAATTCATTTGATTCAAACTAAATTGAAGATAAATATAGCATTGGACATTTGTTAGATTCAAATAAAGTGAAACTTAATCAAAACAATTAAGTTAAAATTAAAATATGAATAATGAAGATGTTATTCTAATTTTTTGAAAGTCTTAAATTCTTACTTAAGTGTTTTGAAAGATCATAACATTTTTTGTTTTTATTAATAAATTAATAACAATTAATTTCTATATTTTTGAATGTATTTCTGAAAAATCATATCAAAAAATTTAAGCAAAAGGACTTTGTGTAAAAAAATATAATTTTATCAGTTGGATAAAGTAATTTAAGAAACCAAATATGAAACTAAATTAGTATGAATCTAATTATTCAAATGAATGAATGTATCGGGCTAGCTTTAATTTTGATTGTTGTTAATCTTAAATTCCAGAAATTATTACACTTTTATTTAACCTGTAAATTTGCTTAAAGAAAAAATATAGTAGATATTTGGAAATACCTTGTTATTCTGGCATAATTTATGCCCTGAGGTATTCTTTCTAAATTATTTCTCTCATTCATAATATGAAAAAGATTATGCATGTATAACAATAAGACTTGTTATAAAGATCACTAAAGTAATCTTTTTGTTTCTATTAGTAGGATTATATGCTTATTATTATTATATACTTGATTAGGACAAAGACGGTAAATTTTCAGGAATACTATCTTGTTGAATCGAATAATTTTGCCATTTAGTTAAATTCTGGCCCTTCTGCTTGTATTGGCTACTACCTCACTTGAACTCAAGCTATCTTTAGACTTCTTTTGTAAAATGGATCTGATTAAATCCTACTCTGTATAGGAGCCGATTTAAATAAGGAATCATCAAAATCAATGATGCAATCTTTATTGGCTTTAAGAATCATTTTTTAATCTTTTTCAGTAAATGGTTGGACCTCCACCTCCAGTCTGAATGAAATGAAAAAGATACAATCAGGACATTTAAAATAATTGCAGCACTAAAAACATCACATTTCTCATCATAGAATTACTATACCAAAATCCCCTAAGATATTATCATAATTATTTTCATCAGATTTAAGAAGTAGATTTTCAGGTTTTAGATCTCTATGCGCAATATTAAATTAATGCAGATGATTCAAAGCTAATAATAGGCTTTAGGACGATCTTTGCAATGTTTCAGCTGGTAAGAAACCTAAACATTGAGATTGATGATACGTGTTTCTCTCACTCTTTATAATAATCTCTCCTGTCACAATATCGACAACAAAATAGACCGAATTGGCAGTTTCATGTATTTCATACAATTTTAAAATTTTTGGATGGTTTAATTTCCTCATCACTTTTATTTTATTTAAAAGACTTTCAATTCCTTTATTCTGTTGTTTCATGAAAGATTTGCTAAAAGCTTTGAGGCAAATTATGTGTTGTTCTCCTTTCTAATTACAAGAGAAACTTTAACAAAACTTCCCTTTCCAATTAATTTTGAAACCATATAAGCTTCATGAAAATTCTTGAGAAAACAAAATTTTCTGAGATGGATTCTCCCTTAATCATAAAAACGAGATTCGTCTTATAAAAAGATCTCTAAGGCTTTCGTTCGGTATTGGAATCGGAATCCAAATTGTTATTCAATAGAATTCAATTAAACTGAATACCAGAATCAATATAGTAAGTTATTCTTTTGAGAACCCCAGAATCAGAGGTCTTGGTTAATGAGAAGAGTAGTGAAAATTGAGGAGAAGTGCCAGGAATATGTAGAGGGATCGATAGTGAAGAGCATTCAATTCTGAAAAATAATTTGGTAAATTTAGTGTTGTGTTGGATATAGGAAAAAGAAGTAGAGATGGTTAAAAAAATAACGAGTGGAGGATAAAGATAAACAATTGGGTTAATTTTAAATAGAAAAGAGGTAGAAGAATAAAAATGGGAATGTTTGAAGCTGTACTAAGGAAATAATCATCAGAGAGATTTATGATAAGAATTGCATTATTAAGCAACTTGTTTTATTTAATGAATATAAATATATTGGGTTTCTTTAAGATGTCTAAAAATCTAAGAGTTTGATCAATTAATCTTTACTCTGAATTCTATTTTTTAATCTCGATTTTAACTTTATTCAGTCAACTCAGATATTGGAATTCCTTTTTCTATGTTTATCAAATCAGCATTACCCACTTGTTAATTTCTCTGCCTTCAACTTATAAATTTACTTCATATTATTTAATTCATATTAATAATATATTGTTTAAATTTTTAAATAAATTATTTATTAATATTTTAATAACTCTGAATTTTACAAATATTAGAATAAAGTCTTTAAAAAATTCATATGATGATTTATAAATGAACTTTAGACCTGATTAATCAAAGTTACTTAAAATATGAATTTCCAAGTAGATAAGGATCATAGTAAAATAATTTTTATGGCTAAATTAGGTTTAGGTATAATGAAACTCCAAAAGTAGTGATCAATTTAGAGAGTANGCCCTTCTGCTTGTATTGGCTACTACCTCACTTGAACTCAAGCTATCTTTAGACTTCTTTTGTAAAATGGATCTGATTAAATCCTACTCTGTATAAGAGCCGATTTAAATAAGGAATCATCAAAATCAATGATGCAATCTTTATTGGCTTTAAGAATCATTTTTTAATCTTTTTCAGTAAATGGTTGGACCTCCACCTCCAGTCTGAATGAAATGAAAAAGATACAATCAGGACATTTAAAATAATTGCAGCACTAAAAACATCACATTTCTCATCATAGAATTACTATACCAAAATCCCCTAAGATATTATCATAATTATTTTCATCAGATTTAAGAAGTAGATTTTCAGGTTTTAGATCTCTATGCGCAATATTAAATTAATGCAGATGATTCAAAGCTAATAATAGGCTTTAGGACGATCTTTGCAATGTTTCAGCTGGTAAGAAACCTAAACATTGAGATTGATGATACGTGTTTCTCTCACTCTTTATAATAATCTCTCCTGCCACAATATCGACAACAAAATAGACCGAATTGGCAGTTTCATGTATTTCATACAATTTTAAAATTTTTGGATGGTTTAATTTCCTCATCACTTTTATTTTATATATGTAGAGGGATCGATAGTGAAGAGCATTCAATTCTGAAAAATAATTTGGTAAATTTAGTGTTGTGTTGGATATAGGAAAAAGAAGTAGAGATGGTTAAAAAAATAACGAGTGGAGGATAAAGATAAACAATTGGGTTAATTTTAAATAGAAAAGAGGTAGAAGAATAAAAATGGGAATGTTTGAAGCTGTACTAAGGAAATAATCATGATATTTATGATAAGAATTGCATTATTAAGCACTCTAACTTGTTTTATTTAATGAATATAAATATATTGGGTTTCTTTAAGATGTCTAAAAATCTAAGAGTTTGATCAATTAATCTTTACTCTGAATTCTATTTTTTAATCTCGATTTTAACTTTATTCAGTCAACTCAGATATTGGAATTCCTTTTTCTATGTTTATCAAATCAGCATTACCCACTTGTTAATTTCTCTGCCTTCAACTTATAAATTTACTTCATATTATTTAATTCATATTAATAATATATTGTTTAAATTTTTAAATAAATTATTTATTAATATTTTAATAACTCTGAATTTTACAAATATTAGAATAAAGTCTTTAAAAAATTCATATGATGATTTATAAATGAACTTTAGACCTAATTAATCAAAGTTACTTAAAATATGAATTTCCAAGTAGATAAGGATCATAGTAAAATAATTTTTATGGCTAAATTAGGTTTAGGTATAATGAAACTCCAAAAGTAGTGATCAATTTAGAGAGTAATAGTAAGAGTAGTAAGATATTTATAAATATTAGTAGATATCTTAAATAGTTAGAATGAAACAATATGTAAATGGAACTCCAATCAATGCAAGAAAGAGAGAAAAAAGTTTAACTCTTGTTAATAAATGAACTATTTCGAAATTTTTTAATGCATAGATATTCCTAGAATATTTTGAGCATTCATTTTATCTAAGTGTTTCTTATATTCATTTGAGAGTGATAAATTTAAATATCAAGTCATATTATTAAAATATTGTATTTCTTCTTTTCACATTTTAATCCAATTCTGTTATCATTATTGTTATATTTTCGCTTCCCTTCAGAATAATTACATTTAAAGTAATAATTTTACTTCAATTATTTACTTCCATTTCTAAAATGAAAAAAACTTAATAAAAATAAAGCTTAAATTTTAAGCAATCCACTTAAAGATTCCTCAATACTCTAAATAAATACAGAACAATCAGCATAATCAGAATTTATATTAATGAAGAATTCACAATAACTTTTTGCTCCTTTACAGATATTTAGAAAATATCAATTTTCAATAATAAACTTCGAGCAAATCAAAATTAAAATTGATCATTGTGTACATTCAATGATAAATTTGATTTACATATATTGATTTAGATGAGAATTGTAAAATAGATACAAAATATAATCAATGTTTTTGAACTGGTAATACTTATGTATTATATACATGTCTAAATGCTCCTTTAGAATAATAATGTGATAGAAGATTGAGCAGTTAATAATACTACTTTTAAAGGTTGTTCAGACAAAACATGCTAAAACGACTTTTTTATAAGGTTGATTTAAATGGTAATATTTGCTTTTGGACTGGTCTTTGCGATTTTAAGACATGTGCTCATGCTTCATTTGAATATAATTCAAATTTGAAGAGTAAGACTTATTTAAATACATACACTATTGGCAATAGTGATAGAGGATTAACTTAATTTAATTAATTAGTATGAGATGAATAATGTTAGATTAAATCAACTAGTTACATTGGTGGCTGCTTTGAAGGTGCTCGTTATGACTAAGCTTGTTTTACTGCACCTTATATACCTGATTTGACACAAATGATGAATTTGATATATATTTTATAAAAGTAATGGAGATTGTATTCTATTGAATTAATGCACTACCTAAAATGCCTATATTCAACTTGGTTTAATGAATGTACAAATGATGGATCTACTGGTTTTATGAGAGCTAGAACATGAAATAATTATGAAAGCAAAGTTATTCTTAAATTGAACTACAAAAAATTGTGCTAAAGCTAGTTTAGCTATTTTTAATATTTACTCATGCTTTTTGTTCAAAATGGTTAAGTACTTGTACTGCTGATGATACAAATCGTAGGACTTGTATAAATTATAAGGTTTAATTAATTACAATAAGGTCATTCAAACTGTAATGCTTGGTTATCAAGTTTTACTAGTAATGTCACAGATTATAGGTAAAATTAGTTTATACATTATTATTTCTATTTATGATTACATTATTTCAATGAATAAGTATTAAAATAAAATTCTAAATTATTTCATTATATGATCATGCAACTTAAGTTAATGTAATCGATAATACATATCGTAATAGTTGGAGGAGTGGTAGTGTTGTACTCGCTATCATGGAAGTACAAAATGTATAGTTAGAACTTGTTAATTAGTATCTTAAGGTATCTCAGAATATAATTCTTAAAAATTTAGTGGTATAGGAATGCACAGTTAACTCGGATGGTAGTGGATGTTAACGAAGAACATGTTATAATTAAGGAGATTATTTAATTACATTTATAGAATTGTTAAAATGGTTGTAATGTTAATCCAACATATGATGAAAGATAAAAAAAAATGAAATACTAAATCTTTAAAATCTCTAATTATAAATAATTAATTAATTCTTAATATGAACGTTTATTGTTTTCTTATACTGAAACAATAATAAAAATATAGTAATAATGTTATGAATAAATGAAATGTTAAAGTTAAAACTTATTTAAAATTGGAGATAACCTTTTACTTAGGTAAAATTTTATACATTCTATAGAAAGTTTTTTCACTTAAAAAATTTATATTAAAACAAATTATTTAAGAATCGATTTTTATCTTTAACACCCATGCTTGAAATAGTCTATAAATTTGTTTTAAAATTGCATCGNTATTTAAATACATACACTATTGGCAATAGTGATAGAGGATTAACTTAATTTAATTAATTAGTATGAGATGAATAATGTTAGATTAAATCAACTAGTTACATTGGTGGCTGCTTTGAAGGTGCTCGTTATGACTAAGCTTGTTTTACTGCACCTTATATACCTGATTTGACACAAATGATGAATTTGATATATATTTTATAAAAGTAATGGAGATTGTATTCTATTGAATTAATGCACTACCTAAAATGCCTATATTCAACTTGGTTTAATGAATGTACAAATGATGGATCTACTGGTCTTATGAGAGCTAGAACATGAAATAATTATGAAAGCAAAGTTTCTTCTTAAATTGAACTACAAAAAATTGTGCTAAAGCTAGTTTAGCTATTTTTAATATTTACTCATGCTTTTTGTTCAAAATGGTTAAGTACTTGTACTGCTGATGATACAAATCGTAGGACTTGTATAAATTATAAGGTTTAATTAATTACAATAAGGTCATTCAAACTGTAATGCTTGGTTATCAAGTTTTACTAGTAATGTCACAGATTATAGGTAAAATTAGTTTATACATTATTATTTCTATTTATGATTACATTATTTCAATGAATAAGTATTAAAATAAAATTCTAAATTATTTCATTATATGATCATGCGACTTAAGTTAATGTAATCGATAATACATATCGTAATAGTTGGAGGAGTGGTAGTGTTGTACTCGCTATCATGGAAGTACAAAATGTATAGTTAGAACTTGTTAATTAGTATCTTAAGGTATCTCAGAATATAATTCTTAAAAATTTAGTGGTATAGGAATGCACAGTTAACTCGGATGGTAGTGGATGTTAACGAAGAACATGTTATAATTAAGGAGATTATTTAATTACATTTATAGAATTGTTAAAATGGTTGTAATGTTAATCCAACATATGATGAAAGATAAAAAAAAATGAAATACTAAATCTTTAAAATCTCTAATTATAAATAATTAATTAATTCTTAATATGAACGTTTATTGTTTTCTTATACTGAAACAATAATAAAAATATAGTAATAATGTTATGAATAAATGAAATGTTAAAGTTAAAACTTATTTAAAATTGGAGATAACCTTTTACTTAGGTAAAATTTTATACATTCTATAGAAAGTTTTTTCACTTAAAAAATTTATATTAAAACAAATTATTTAAGAATCGATTTTTATCTTTAACACCCATGCTTGAAATAGTCTATAAATTTGTTTTAAAATTGCATCGTAGATTAGTGAAATGATGTAATTGATGTAACAAAAAGGTTAGTCTTCAACTGAGATTTAAGAAGTCTGTAATTTTCTTTTTTGAACTAAGGATAAGCTTTTTGATTGCCTTTTAAGTTCAACTCTTGATGAATCTGTCTTCAATAGCATACAACATTAAGGAAGGTTTTGCTTCCCATGTAAAACTATTACATTTATTAATTCTTTGGTTTATTAATTCGAATTTGATAATCTTGTCCTAAATATTTAATGAAGTTTGTTAATTAATAGGATAGAAGAGGATTTCCTTATATACTAAGTCATATTATAAAGATGATTCAAGATTAAATCTTAAAAACCATTTTCTTCACAAACTTTAGTTTTAATAAAAGATGATACTGTTATCAATTAAATACAATCATATCCTAATTTAGGGATAATTTATTAATATCATAATGAATTGAGAAAAAAAATTTAACTTTTTGATAAAAGAATAAATAATAATTAAGTACTCTAATTATTTATTCACAATGAATTATAAAACATAAAATAATTTTTCTAGATCATACTATAAATAATAATTATTTATATATTTATTTTCCATTAAAAAATTACTTACTTATCATATTTCATTTATATTAATTGAATCTGATTGTCTCTAAGTTTGAGTATAAAAAACATCAGGACTAGTTTATTTGGACCCTCTTCTAAACTAGACACAAAATAGATATTTCTTTTTCTAATTTTTTGTGCGTGAATATAAGTATTATTTCAATTTTAAAAAATTCTAATTAATTTAATATTACTTTTTTTCATTTAAAAATAGTCTTTTTTGAATAAATTTAGTCAAAGAGTAGGATGGTAAACACCATTTAAGTATTCTATGAAATTAAGTTAATATATTAATCTTATAATTTTTATTATAAGCTTCCAAGATATTCTGAATAAAAGGAAGGCATAACTTTATAAATAGAATTATAATTAAGAATTATAACATTACTGACCAATTTTGATTATTTTGTTATTCACTTGCATATTTTGCAATTGCTATATATATAGCTAATTAACAGATCTATGAAGTTTATATGTCAAGATTATTTAACTTTAGTATAAGATATGGTTTAAATTTTAAAGCAAATGCTTGATAAACTAAAAGACTTAAACCTAATAAAGATCCTTTTAAATAGATATTTGTTTCAAAGTAAATAATAATAAATATCATTATGGTTTTTTACCAAATTTTGATAAATTCCCAATAATAATTTTTTTCTTTGTATTCATTAAAAACATAGCAAATGTGTTTCCTTAATTTAATTTAATCTAATTTATTTCTAAGAATAAACAATAATATGAAAAATAGAAAAGGTATGATAAAACAAATTATAATATAACCTGGAATAACAAATTAGATAATCCATTATTAGTGAGTATTAGTATAATATTCTAATGATACATCTCCTTATATAAAATCAATGTCTGAAATTTTTCTTATGGATAATAAGGATGCAAATCTAATAAATAAAATATATTTATACTATTTGGCAAACTCAGCTTAATTTGCAATATATAGATAGATTGCTGTGTTTGATAAAATACTATTGTTAAATTTTTCACTTTTCATAAGAGAGTTAATCATATATCCTCCAGATATTGCAAGGAATAAGTTGAATTGCACTATAAATAACATAATTATTCTTAAATAGATTAATTAGATATTATGGATATCAG